ATGTGCTACATCTTACTTTAAATTCTACAAACAATAAAGCAGCTTTATGCACGCATATAGCAACCCTAAATAATTTGATTGATTCAAAATAGTGAGATAAAATAGCGGAGTACTGTTTGTGGTTTAGAAGTGGGACGAAAAAATTTCGAACAAGTACTTTGGTGGCCCGTGATCTGTCTCCATTTTGATCGTATAAATGTTTGCTATCACCTATTCTCGTATATCATCGTCGACTTAAATCGCGTTATCCAATAACGGAATTAAATAAGTCAAATAACGAGAATTGATTTGAGAATACATATATTTCGTACATGAAGTGAATGAAGCATAGCAAAGCAAAATGACACGTATGGAAGATGGCTGGGAAGCCAACTCCATTTTAATCAAGCGTTACTCAATATTTATAGTCAGACAAAAATAAACTACAAACATGTGATGAGTCATGGGATATGAAGTGTACACACATATACGCTCATACATAAAAACAGTCAGGACTGATAAGCGAATAATTGAAAAGGTCAAAATATGACTCAAGTAGAATGAATAAAATGGAATGTCCGAAAACTAGAATATAAGATATATGAGCTTAAAATAATGACTGACACTACAGTACCATGGGGAGCTTGTCCTCATGTTGATGTAGGTATAAACAAAACTTCCACAATGTTATCATGTCTGTCCTGAAAGCTGCTCTAGAAATTTTTGAACAGTATGAGGTTATTCGTGATCACCCCCTGTGATTGATAGAAATTGAGGTGTTTATTATATGTTCAATCGAATAAGTAGGAATGGATGAGTGAAGGGTTTGTGAGAAAACAGACACAATTAGATAGAATAGACCTGACTACTAGTGATGAAAAAACAACAAACATGATGAATCAAAGTTTTCGCAAAGCTTCAAGCCACTGGTCCTAACTCAACGATGACTTCAGTCAAAGTTCACTGGAAATATCAGGAGATAACCTGGGTATTCGACCAATGCAGCGTAAACTGAAAGTCCGAAGAGGCACTTCCGAGCCCACATGGTTCGTTTCAGTACCCTGAAAGAAGGTTCATTACTTCTGGAGAACCATCTACCCTGGTACACCGTTCTTCCTACACGCGCCCTCACTGAAAAGTGTTATTCCTGCTCTTTTAGTCAATTCTATAATTTTGATTGTTTATAAGGTATTAAGACCACATTTGTATTTTGACCAAATTGTTTACAGCCAAAACGTGAAAAAGGGCAGATTTTACAGCACGTTTACTTCTTAATTCAACTTTCAGGCACAACATATTTTTAGGGGTGAGGATAAACCCTGCTCGTCCAAGCAATTTAACTTAGAACCACAAAACGATCTCACTTTGATTATCATTTGGACTAGAAACCTGGAAACACTGGGTGGACATTTCGTCCTGGTAGGGGACCCCTCAACAGTGGGTGTTCATTGTCCTGCAGGAGAGACTCAAGCCCAGGACCTCCAGTATCTCGTAGACGCTTAACCTCCGGGTCAACCCTGACCAATCCACCATTATGGGCTTCAGAAGAGAATCGTCTATGAAGCACGTTGTGTGAAACGCAAAGCCATTCAAATGTCCTTTGGATAGTTTGAACAACCTGTCAAAGATTTTTTGGCGGGAGATTAGGGCTGAATGTACCGATGAGCTCCACCAGATCGAATCTTTTCGGTGCAACAGATATCTGACGCTCATTGAAAGCATGGGTCGATCTAAATTACACTATCACTGGAGATCTAGAGGCACTGAACGGGTGTTTCGTCCCAACAAAGAACTTTTCGGTAATGAGTACCTTCGATCCCAACCGCCAAACTCGAACCCGGGACCTTATGTCTCGATCGCAAATGAGTGACCCCCAGACCAAGCCTGGACATATCGGTGCTAGTGACTAACTTTATTCAACCCAAAATATTGCATGGCCATCACTCACTATTTTCTACGTGTAACTGCCCCACACTCGATATGGTTTAGCCTAATTGGCCAACAATGGCTTCGAAGCAACCTGATCGATTAGACTTGGAGTGAGGATTCACTTGTTACACGTAAAAACCTGTGATTCAACACGCTTGATTAGTTTAATACCTCCATTTCAGCAACCATTCGAACCACTGACAGTAAGCGATGACCAAAATGGATTATGAATGCCCCTAGAAAATAGTTTAAGGCCCGTGGATCAGCCCCATGTAAATCTAGAAGGAAATGGAAATGTAAGCTTGTAAATGATTCCTTAAAATACCCAAGATGCTTATTTCGTTACATAAACCGAAGGACTGATTGGGGAAGACGTATTAACATTTTGTAGTAATTGTGTAGTGAACAAGAAAACTAGTGGGAACAATCGAATGTACTTGACTCACAATTACGGGACTTGTTAATAAAATCTAGCAATCAAATAGTAAATACGTAATTTGCAAAATGTCCACCAATTGTCTCATAATGACTCAGACTTCATTGTTCTTGCATTTTCATACAAATTGCATTCTGTTTCCATTCTTTACCGTTCGATCCTCTTGTCTCTCTGCTGTCAGACCTTCTTTTCACGACTAACGTCATATACTACTTATGTCAGTGTAAGTAGCACATACTACAATTGTACTATGACACCGATGTAGCGAAATTCAGGTATTGTAGATAGATTTGGTAGTAAATATATTGTAGACACCCTTCTGTTTTAGGAATAGAACAATACTTCCACCCATACACTGTTTAATGTGATCATTAAAAAACCAGATATCGCTGGTTGGCTAAATAAACTCTTTGTATGAAAATCCACTGGATCCGATGTAATGCATCATAAGATTTTAAAGGAACCCATGACCCCCATCACAAATTCTTCAAGTGTATGCTTTTATGGCACTTAATAGATATATTTTAAATGAACATACTTGTGTATTCATTTTTGAATATGATGCCTGAATATGTGACTGTCAAATACACTGGTTCGGTTCCAGTGGTTAATTTGTGTCTAGTTCTGTGACTAATTCGGACGTCGAGTGACTCCTTTTGAAATCCATCCATGTGGTTGGCTGACTAGTCGGCACTCTAGGAAACGTGAATTTATTTGATCAGGATTAAGATTAGAAAAGTCTAATGAAGTCTAGGATCTACTTTGCAGTTAGCGTTCTTTAGCAAGGTTTTCCCCTCTTATCAAGATTATGGACTTGTAGTAATGCTAGGAAGGCTACAGATGGACTTGGATATTTTATTCCTAGTGTTTCTGTTATTGTTATTGCTGGGAATTCTAAGTGCTCATGTCAATATAACTTCAATATAACTGCAAAGTTCTAACTCTGGTATGTTTCCAATTCTAATATTGTTTCATCGTAGTTGTGTCCACTCAGTTCTATAATACTTTGGTTGTTTATTTTTGCTGTACATTTCAATTATTTTATGCATTTTGTAGGGTCAGTGAAACGTCGCTGAGCCCTAGCCAAATCATCCCGCAGTTGGGTCACTGAATATCGAACAGAACGTCGATTCTCATCGAGGTCAAGGACAACCAACGCGCATCAGTTAATCGTATGCCGTGAACTGGTGCATGGGGTGGTAATCACGCTATCTTCTCTCCACTCATTCTTACCAATACATTTTCATCATAACTTCCTTTGTGTTATACGGTCTTCAAAGAAGCCACGGTACTTTAATACGTCGAAGGGGTGATACACGTAAGATGCTAACGGCGAAGCGTGACTTCGAACTTAGCCGGTTCGTCATACCATTCTCGTTCAATTCGAGTAGGTCTCCAATCATTAGGCATAGATAATCTACGTTGATGATCTTCAAATTAAATATAAATTCAGAAACACTTGTTTTCTAGCTCTTACTGAATTTGTTTCTCTTTGACTATCCAGCATAAAGACAGGTAATATAGGGATTTTACGCACATGTAAATTAGAGAAAATCACCGAACGACTAAAAGAACCTCAAAGTATGTTCTACCTCCAAAACAGGTGTTAGGCACTAACATGTGAATTATCGCTCTGCAAGTTTAACCGGAGCGAATATCACGGTTCTAGGAAACATTATATGTAAGAGGTTATCCGCGTAACCAGATTAAAACCTAATCCTCTTAGAGAGGTAGCTTTATTGTAGAACAAGTTAACAATATATCGCGAAAGGATTAGTAGCTCTTAAATATCCCTCATAGTCTCCTATCAGCACTCTTCTTTCTATATGCTGGAAATATCATGATATGGGGGACAGAACGGCACGAGAAGGATAGCTCGTAGTTTCAAAAAATTTAAAGAAGTTGTTTGCATGTTCCAGATTTCGGCATCTTCAAAATGCATTATGTTGCACATTAGTCTCAATGGTACAAATGCATACCCGGTGAATGACGTTCAGCTACTTAAATTCAGACACGTCGTGGCGTTTAAGCCATCATCAGATAAAACTTAGGAGCGACTGCAAAATTCCACGTAGTAACCATCATAATTTTTAGACCGTTGAGCAGTACGACAGCTTTTAGATCCGTCTACGTAAAAGAAGTCGAGCACTTTTTGATACTTTCCTTAGAACATGATGTTGGAGATGCCACAGGTATTCGGAGTTTGACAATGCCTTAACCAGTAACACCTTTTGATAAGAATCTTACCCACTAAATGAAATTAAAAGACAGAAGAGAGGAGGTTCGAAGATATATCTGGCAGGCCAACAGTGTATCGAGGATCGTCTAATCTAATCTGGCTAGCGATTGCAGGTGTTGTTGAGCACGGCGTTCCCACTCGTGATCTGGTGCGGATGCATGTTCGAGCGCCTTCAGCTAAGTGAGTCCATTAGAACTAATGTGGTCAGCATCCAATGTCGAAAACTTACAGAGGTATTTATTTTGAGGATTTATTTACCGCTACGATATGAACTGATGCACGTCACAGTGTGTCCAAATTACTTCAGCTGTTAAGGTTGAGCTTATATTAGCTTCAAGTAGATGGGTTGGATAATTGCTCTTGTTTCGAAATAAGGATACGAAACCTTTTGCGGTTTTAAATTTGACTTATAACCTTGAATTTGGAAGCAGAAATTCGGTATTGGCGCTACTTTTAAAGTTGGTGGTTAGTTTCGTGAGTCTCGTGCATTAGTGACGGCGAAAGTTTGAAATGGTTTTTGTTTTTGTGGGGAACTGAAATTAGGATTTACAGTTAGACTTTAAGGTTGGGAATTAGTGTTATTTTATTCGTCACGAACTGACTTAAGCTATAGTGCTAATATATGTTATTAGTATATACTACTTAGACATTGATGAATAAATTATGAGCCGACATACAAGACCTAAGATCTTGAATTTTATTAGTTTGTCCATAAGTTGTATTCTCATTCAATGTCATACTATATCTGACGTCAGTTTGCCACGAAAACTCACTCTAGTTCCTAAACACATGAATCATAGTCTCACTCCCATATCTTCTCGGCTTCTCTCAACAAACAATCCCTAATACTCTCATATGCGCTTGTTAATCTATTGGCAACTAACGGATTTGACGGTTAAAATACCGTAAATGCGGGACAGTACTCTTAACGAAGTCAAATACAAGCAAGTTCTAAGGGGATGATGGTTAAGAGGATGGATTTATTTGACTGTATTAGAAAATTACTTAACCTACCATTTAAGCTGTTCAGCTAAACGTATGAAACGTTCTTCACTTGCTCGTAGCTTGATCTAGTATTACTCTGACCAATTACTCTAAGCTAGCTAGTATCTGTTACGAACAAGATTAGCATTAATCTCAGGCGTTTACACAACTATTTATTCTAGGAAAATATTTATACCTAAATCGATAATTTAATCAGTTTGGATTAATAATTGCTATTAGTTATTCTCGATCATGCTTAGTGAAGTTTGTTGTACGTCTGGCATATCCTGTCGTCATTTTGTTACTTGGTAGTCATTGTTGCAATATTTCTGTAACGTCAAATCATCTATTTCGGTTTAGAATTTGTCAGTATGTTTATTCAAATGAACACTCCTGTATTTTTCAGGTCACCTTGTAGCTCGAATTCTTCCTGTCAACAGTGGTTCTGTAATTTGTATTGGTTGTTACTTTTAGCGAAACAATCCAGGATCTCATCATATTTATGGATGGTGACATTTTGAATGTTTTGAATGTTAGTATACGCTAAATAACTTCGATTTATATTGATATTCTAGTCTATCAAAACTGTGGGAAAAGACAATGCTGCAATCTGTATTCCCTTTGAGAGACTTGCTCAATATTTATTACTTGGTAGGTGATTATTATTAGTCTTACGTTCTATTTCCATAACCAACTTTTTAGTGTGAACTAGTTTATTCTAGTAGTATGTGGGGCCGCAAACAAAGAAAACAAACTTTCGAGTTTTATATACATAGATCTACTGTAATGACGTTTATTGATGAGAGTCAGTCACAAACATTTTGCATCTAGAGGAATAAAAATTAATATCTGCTTTATTACTCAAAGTGCTCATATGGTTACATTTTGTTAGTTCTCATTAAACAATACTATAGCATGATAATATTGCAAGTCAGTGAGTGGATCTTCAGGAAGACTGATCACTGAGAAATCAGATGGTGAAAAAGTACATATGAAAAAAGAGCAAAAAAACAGTGCTTACGAAGTTCGGTTTCAATGGAGTGTCCAAAATAGGTTGATGACTATGTATATACTTTCCTATGGAATGATTTATCATTGCCTAACGAGGTTTTTATACTCAGTATACAAAATAAGTGGACGGAATAAGGGTTAAGTCTCAGTAAAACAAGATAAAATTGTGATCACTTATGTATGCACTTGGTAAATGTCAAAGACACATGTACACGGATACATGAAAAATAGGAAAATTAAATATCCGGTCGTTATAAAATTTCAAGAGTATTCGTTTGAAATACTAAGGATTTAGAATGAATGTATGTAACTGAAATTGTTCTGAATACATTCTAATTTCATAATTTTGTAAAAACTAATTCAAGCATTTGTAAAAGGTAGTGTCTGACGATGTTTAATATGCGCTTGTAGATCTAATAAACATCTGAGATTGTTATCTTATAAGCAATATAATCTGTTTGCTCCAAGCATATCTATGGAAATTTGATACTTGTATTCCAACTGATGGGTACCCGTTCACATGTCTCATAGAGCGTACAAGATGGCTGACTAATTAAACAGTTGGACCAGTTTAAACCACCTGAAGATCTCATCTTTCATATTCAAAGGTCGAGTGCATTCATCTGTACAGCTTGCTTCTAGTCTATGTGCATGATATGTCGTTCTATTAGCTTTAACGCATTAATATTTTTAAAATGATGTTTCTGCCACAATACATATACACAAATATTGGCTAATATACTTATTTAATCTTAATAATATTGCTTTTCCTGTAAAACGTTTTTAAATGTTTATCATCACGACATATTTTGTAATAATGGTATTCAAACACTGAAAATATACTATCTTACCGTAGTGGACTGCAGTTTATATATATATATATATATATTTGAACACATAAATATTGGTACAAGGTGGCATCAAATATATATGCGCCACACAAAACAAGAAGAATGGTAAGAGAAAAAAGAAGGCAAGGAGCGTAAAAGAAAAAAAGGAGAACAATAACGACCACAGACTAGTGTAAGGTAACGTAGTAATAATAATAGCAATAATAATAATGGGGGAAACGGGAAGGTACAACCAGAAGAATTCTTTCAGTTAAGGAAGATATAACCACTTTTTATGAAGAAAGCAAAATAAAGTTACAGCAGGATAGCCACTGGCTTCTATTCTGAGCCATATCTGATAACGTCTCTAGCCACTTTGTCGCACCATCTCTAGGACCCCAACGAGGTAGTCGTGAAGGACCAACAGAAGCCAGTCCTTTGCAGCCTTCTTTCATACCGCTACACCATGTCATACACTGACCACCTCTCCACTTTCTCCAACCAGTCCCAGGGTCGGCAAATAATGCACGACGTGGAATTCTCTGGGACGACATTCGTAGAACATGTTCAAGCCACCGAAGTCGATGTTTCAAGATGGTGACACTAATTGCATTATCATCTCTGTGCCCGAACACACGATGCTGAACCTCTGCATTACTAACACGGTGTTGCCACTGGATGTCAGCAATCCTTCGGAGACAACGATGATCGAACGCAGAGAGTCGTCTAACGTCCTCAACTCGGAGAGGCCAGGTTTCACAAGCATAGAGCAAAACTGCTCTCACCGACGCGTTGTAGATCCGACCTTTTACAGCCAGATTGACGTTACGAAGGCGTTAAAGATGGCCCAGATTGGCATGGGCGCTCTGGTTTTCACTATACGTGCATTGATCTCATCACTCACTTCACCAGCACTAAATAGGAATAGAACTATTTGATTTCAACATTTCATCTTATGCGTAAATGCGATAAGCCTTCATGTCTCATCAATTTTTTCGACATTTCTATCCATTTTAAAGAGAATATCTATCGTCCAGGTAACGACAGTGTACTTTCAGTAGCTTCGTTACTAAGATCGGCTTTCTGTTTTCTATTTTCATGTCTTAAGTATTTATGGGACATTAATCTTAGTGAAGTCATTATGTCTGTGTGTGTGTTAAATATACACTTATTTCTGTCTAAGATGTTGATAAACTAATCAAGTCGTCTTACATAGCTATGTAAGGCCTTTTCTAGGAAAAAAGCAACACCATCTAGGTTTGTGGGTAAATCCTCCACTTTTTATTTAACAAGGGTGCACTTGGTAAGTGTTTCATCAAACCTGGTTCTGTCTTCTTCCATTTGGTCTACCTATTAATTAATTTTATTCAAATAAATTACCTCACTCACCACGTACCTAAATATAAGTCACACTCTGAGTGTGAAGGGTTGTGATCTTATCAGGTTGACCAAACGGAAGTAGTTGGAGCGCTTCAGTCATTAAGCCACCATCCAACAGAATCTTGACACGATTGCAATCATTTCTTCATTTATTTCAGATAGAAGCTAGATATACGGTGTTGTAGAAAGACCAGTTAGATTAAAATATACCTCCTAAAAGTTTTTTTAAATTTCTGGTTTGTTATGTAAACTTCAAATGCTAGTGATTTCTCAGGAATATTTTAAACTTCGATGGTCTCGCGCAAAGTAGAAAAATGCTAGTCATAATTATTAGTTAGTTTACTCTTGGGATGTATAGTCCACACGATTCGTGTATCTTTACTTCCGTAGATTTACCTGTGTAAGATGGCTTGGTTATCATGCCAGACCGTTTAGCTGATTATATCGATTTAAAATGCAAAATACATCTTTCACTTCTAGAGTGGTACAGTTTCTAAAGTAAATGCAGCCATCTAATCGATATCTAAATTTAGTGTTTCCCACTTTTCTGCATCTCTCTCTATCTATCTATATATATACTTAGTCTGTTAATAATACGTTAATATGCTTTCCTTACTCCAGATAAGGATAGTCTTCCGAGTAACCTTCGCTTATCACTCATTGAATGTATCGCGAATATGGCGTTCGATCCATCAATCGTAAGATCTGTTTTAACGAATAATTTATGAATTCGCATTAGATCGGATTAAAAGGTTTTGAGTTATTATTTCCTGGTTTGTGGAATTTGGTATATCTCTCGTAAGTTCTGTTTTCCTTCACTTATCCCTCGTAATTTTATTCCAGCCCTTCAACGGACAGAACTATATCATCACTTGTATTCCCTGTATTAAATCAGATTATACAGTTTAATGCCTTTGTCGATTTCAATGGTAGCCTTCCATCTGTTTTGACTATTTCAGTCAAAAAAACATGTGAATTATATATGCGTACGTCTCATTTTTCCCCCAGGATATCTTATCATTTCGTTTCAGCTGAAACAGATTGTCTCTTATTTTTGAGTGAACTTCTACGGTATGGTGTAAAAAACAATATAGATTTGGAAGATTCTATATTAAAGAGCTTGGCCGTTTGTTGTGAAAAATTCGATCCATCGTGTAAAGTGAGTTTTCCGAGATAACCGCGTATTATAATATTGATCTATTCAGAGAAATAGTTTGTGTTATGTGAGTAATAATTTCCCATTAAGATTTCCAATTTATGCTTTACTGACCTCTATTCCTTGTAATAGTGGTCGTGCTTGCTGTCCACAGGAGCAATTGACCTTCAGCTCGGTAGAAACTCATTTTTTAAGGAGCTATTGTACCATAAAAATACGGTCAAATTGTCTATGTGTAAAGAACTCTTTTTCCCACTATAATTCGGGAAATATGATGGGATGGTGTTTCACTAGAATAACTGGGATTTCGCATTATTTGAAGTAATTAAATTGTAGTTTTCGTTTATTAGATAATAAAACTACAGTAGTCAATATTCCTGAAAGTGCTTTACGTAATCAATTAGTGATATAGACTTAAGTTGTTAAATTATTTATCAGAAACGTTCATTTAAACAGATAATTTTCAAATTTTTTTCACCGAAATCACTTCAAAAAACTGTGCCTGTCTATGGATTGGGAGTCGGAAGGTATCAGTAACTCCCAGAAGTTCAATAACACAGAGATTTTTCCAGATAATTAAACTATACAGTATATATAGTATTAGTTTCATGTTGCCTTTCTTACAATGACAACCATTATTATTCTGCCGTGGTTTAACATAAAACGTACAATCTTAATTTTCCAATTTGCTAGTTTAGTTTAATTAGGGGTGAGAAATATGTCTTTATGCTTGAGTAAATATTTTTAACGTTGAAAATATGGCGATAGGGTTAGCGAATTTTCGTCCTATAAAACAGCCCCTTGAATGAATTTCGGTAGTATAGTTAAGATAAGGTGGATCTGAAAATTGTGATGCGTTCACACCATTCACTTATCGAGGCACCAACTTATGAAAATTAATGAAGTCTCACTGAATAATAGTTCAAATAACAAAGTAACCCATGTGTGCAGGATAATTTGTCCACTTGACGAGCACGAGAAAGGTGAAGAATAACTTAAAAGCGTGAACGTGATAACAACGAATAGTTAGAACCAGAAAGATCAAAACATTAGAAAGATGTATTAATAATCAAATCACCATTTACGAAAGTGATAGGACCACGTAAGAATGAGGAGTTGTACTTGTATCTTTTGTCCAATCCTGGAGTTTATCTTTGGCACATCCATGAATGATGAGAAAGTTGGCAAGACGATGCAAAGCCTAGAAGCATACAAAGGTTTTCTCAGAGATTTCGTTGAGAGGTTTTTTAGAATCTCTCCAGCAGCATCTCCCTTGAACTCAATACCCTTGAAGAAAGTTTCTGTAGGAACTGTAGGAGTTCTTGCAAGTTTTAGTTTAAGCACCGTAGATACAAAATTGTGAACGCAATTTTGATTCCAATGTGAATTTAATTGAATAATGTCAATCTTTGAACTTATGCAGGATGGCATTAAGGCCACTATTTTCATCATAAATAACAAAAACCTCGATATTAATGTTCCAAAAAATCGTCTAAAGGAAGTGCCCTTGCGATGTACCCTCAATGTCCAGTTTCGATTTGATAATCAGTTTTCTAGACATATCAACGACGTAGTTATGAGCTCACCACTGGGCCCTCTTCTAGTGGATTTTTTCATGCCCAATCTTGAGAATAAAGTGCTTCAACCGACGGTTGACGGCTTCTGCGTATACAAAAGATACATAGATGACACTTTTACTGGTTGAATTGAAAGTAGTGAGGAGTCCAATTCAATAATTTGTGCTCTGCAGAGGCGTTAGCAATCCATCTTTTCAAACCTAAACTCTGTGCATGAGACACGTACAACTCATCATTTTTACGTGGCCCTATCACTTTCGTAAGTGGTGATTTGATTATTAATACATCTTTCTAATGTTTTGATCTTTCTGGTTCTAACTATTCGTTGTTATCACGTTCACGCTTTTAAGTTATTCTTCACCTTTCTCGTGCTCGTCAAGTGGACAAATTATCCTGCACACATGGGTTACTTTGTTATTTGAACTATTATTCAGTGAGACTTCATTAATTTTCATAAGTTGGTGCCTCGATAAGTGAATGGTGTGAACACATCACATTTTTCAGATGAGCTTCATCTTCTCACTACACTGTCATAACTGTCGTTCTACATTACATGTGTACGTGGTTATTACAAATTATATTAAGTACCTCACTCCTGTTCTTAATGTAAAACCATGAAAGAAAAGCGTTATAATTATCAAACATTTGTTCATTTATTTCCTATTGTATTTAGTCGTACTTAAATATAATTGGAATGAAATCGGTATTATGCTCTGTAGCTCATCCGCAATATTACAATAAATTTTTTTTTATTCCAGGATGATTTACTTTGGAATTACTTAATTTTAATGATAAAATTAATAAATTTAATGCCTACAATTGATAATGGTATAGGTTTATTAGAACATCTTAAACATCCAATTCTATTTTGTTTGAATTGCTTGAAGACTGAACGTGAGTCCACTTTTTGAGAAATCAAATTTTATTAAGATATATTTTGTTTACATTGTCTGATATTAGTTTGTCTTCTAAATATTTTAATTCTTTAGGCGTATTGTAGTAAAACATGATTATATTATGTGAATTTTCCATCACTTCTTACCAAACAGCGAAGCAAAGTTGCGAAGTTACGCCTGTTACTCCTAATGGAGCATAGGCCGCTGACCAGCATTCTCCAACCCACTCTGTCCTGGGCCTTCTTTTCTAGTTCCATCCAATTCTTGTTCATTTTTCTCATGTCTATTTCCATTTCTCGGCGTAATGTGTTCTTTGGTCTTCCTCTTTTCCTTTGGCCTTCAGGATTCCATGTGAGGGCTTGTCTTGTGACGCAGTTGGGTGCTTTCCTCAATGTGTGTCCTATCCACTTCCAGCGCTTCTTCCTGATTTCTTCCTCCGCTGGGATCTGGTTTGTTCTCTCCCACAGTACGTTGTTGCTAATAGTGTCCGGCCAATGGATCTGAAGTATTTTGCGTAGACAACTGTTAATAAACACCTGTATTTTCTGGATGATGGCTTTCGTAGTTCTCCAGGTTTCTGCCCCATACAGTAGAACTGTCTTGACATTTGTATTGAAAATCCTGACCTTGGTGTTGGTTGACAGTTGCTTTGAGTTCCAGATGTTCCTCAGTTGTAAATATGCTGCTCTTGCTTTGCCGATCCGCGCCTTCACATCTGCATCAGATCCACCCTGTTCATCAATGATGCTGCCCAAATATGTAAAGGTTTTTACATCTTCCAAATCTTCTCCGTCAATTGTGATTGGATTGGTGCATTCTGTGTTGTATCGGAGAATCCTGCTTTTCCCTTTGTGTATATTGAGACCTACTGCTGCTGAGGCTGCTGCCACACTTCGTCTTCTCCTGCATCTGTTGTTGCGTTTGGGATAGAAGGGCCAGATCATCTGCGAAGTCTAGATCATCCAACTGCATCCTAGATGTCCATTGTATCCCGTGCTTCCCTTCAGACGTTGACGTCTTCATGATCCAGTCGATCACCAGGAGAAAGAGAAAGGGTGAGAGTAAGCAACCTTGCCTAACACCGGTCTTCACTTCGAACGACTTTGTCAACTGTCCTCCATGCACGATTTTGCAGTGTAATCCATCATATGAGTTCTGTATGATATTGACTATCTTCTGAGGCACGCCGTAGTGTCGAAGAAGTTTCCATAGTGTTGTTCTGTCCACGCTATCAAATGCCTTTTCGTAGTCAATGAAGTTGATGTAGAGTGATGAATTCCATTCAATTGATTGTTCCACAATGATCCGTAGAGTTGCGATTTGGTCTGTACACGATCTATCCTTACGGAATCCTGCCTGTTGGTCACGAAGTTGGGCGTCTACGCAGTCCTTCATCCTGTTTAACAATACCCTGTTGAAGACTTTTCCCGGTATTGAGAGAAGAGTGATGCCCCTGTAGTTATCACACTTGCTGAGATCGCCTTTCTTCGGTATTTTGATCAGAAGTCCTTCTTTCCAGTCTTTGGTACTTGTTCCTCATCCCAAATCTTATTGAAGAGAATGTGGAGTATCCTTGCAGTTGCCGCTACGTCTGCTTTTAGTGCCTCTGCTGGAATGTTGTCCGGTCCTGCTGCTTTGCCACTCTTGATTTGTCTGATGGCCATGCTGATTTCTTCAATTGTTGGTGGGCCAACATTGATTGGGAGGTCCGTGGGTGCTGCTTCGATGTTGGGTGGGTTCAGTGGAGCTGGTCGATTCAAGAGTTCTTTGAAGTGTTCTACCCACCTGTTTTGTTGCTCTTCAATGTTGGTGATTACCTCGCCTTCCTTGCTTTTCACTGGTCGTTCTGGTTTGCGGCGATTTCCAGAGAGTTTCTTTGTCGTGTCATACAATTGTCTCATGTTTCCTTCTCTTGCAGCCTTTTCCGCCGTCGTTGCTAAATCTTCCACATATTTACGTTTGTCGGTTCTGATGCTCCTCTTCACTTGTTTGTTTACTTCTGTGTATTCAGCTTGTGCCTTGGCTTTTTCTGCTCTTGTTCGACTGGTATTGATTGCTGCCTTCTTGTTCCTTCTTTCTTGAATCTTATCCAGTGTATCAACAGTGATCCATTCCTTGTGATGGTGCTTCTTGTGACCCAGGACCTCATGACATGTTGAAGTGATTGCCTCTTTGATCCCCTTCCAGTTGCTCTCCACAGTAGTTCCTTCTCCATTGAGTAGATCATGAAAGGCCTGGAACTTGTTGCTGAGGACTATCTTGAATTTGTTGAGTTTGTTAGTATCCTGAAGAAAGGCCGTATTGAACTTTTGTGATATTGTCCGCCCCGTTGTCCAGTGCTTCTTGAGTTTCAATTTCATCTTGGCGACCAGCAAGTGATGATCTGATGCTATATCAGCTCCTCTCTTGGTTCTCACGTCCTCTATAGTCCTCCTGAACGTTTTGTTGATGCAAATATGGTCGATTTGGTTTTGTGTAGAGTGATCCGGTGAAGTCCATGTGGTTTTGTGTATGCGTTTATGTGGGAATATGGTGCCGCCTATGACCAGTTTATTGAAGGCACATAGATTTGCAAATCTCTCACCATTTTCGTTCCTTTCTCCCAGTCCGTGTCGTCCCATGATGTCTTCATATCCAGTGTTGTCCGTTCCAACCTTGGCGTTGAAATCTCCCATCAGAATGGTCAGGTCCTTTGTTGGGCACTTCTCGACGATTGACTGCAGCCTATTGTAGAATTGATCTTTAGCGTCTTCATTGTAGTCGTTGGTAGGCGCATAGCATTGGATGATGTTCATTGAAATGCCCTCTTTCTTTGTTTTGAACGAGGCTTTGATGATCCTTGGTCCATGAGATTCCCATCCTATAAGTGCATTTTGCGCTTGTTTGGACAGCATCAATGCAACTCCTTGTGTATGTGGTGCATTTTCTTCTTCATGGCCGGAGTATAACAGGAGCTCTCCTGTAGTTAGTCGTTGTTGTCCAACTTGTGTCCAATGTGTTTCACTGATCCCAAGTACCTCTAGGTTGTATCTTCTCATTTCTGCAGCAATTTGGAAGGCTCTCCCGGTGTCCCACATTGTACGAACATTCCATGTACCTAAATAAATGGTCGCTCTGGTTGTCAGAAGGGGCATCGGCCTCGTAACTTCCGAAGGAATTCGGCTTTCATCATGAGGCGTCATAATTCTTCTAAATGAAGACCTTCTGACTCCCAGGGCAGAGTTTAAAAGGTTTGAATAATTTTTTCTGGTTAGCGTTTTTTAGCGAGTTAGTTTTCTACGGGATGGGGACGCTAACCCCATGCCCAACCCTCCTCCTTTATCCGGGCTTGGGACCGGTAGAACCCCACGGAGGGACTCCAGGCGGAGTTCTTACTAAACAGCATCGACTTATAATTATAACTAATGATCATTACTCGATATCAGTCACTAAAATTAACTGAACGATGAATATTTTCTAGCATTTGTTGTATGCGATCAATAGAGAACTATTTATCTTCTTGCAATACCTCTTTATGTGCAATCATGTATTCACCAAGTACGTGTACGTTTTTGTGTTCAACCGATACGACTACATCTAATTTTATGTAGACGTCATATGAACTTATTGAAAATTCACATATAGTCTTACAACTATTATATATACGGTTCTATAATAAGATTACCTATTGTAGTTATATAGGTAGTAGCTAGATAACTAACGAGGTTTTTTCTGTTATACCTTTGAAGAAACAGTAGTTTGAATATATTTGAAGTTCCCAAAGTTTTTACCTATTTTTATGGTTTTTATTTCCCCAATATGTTTGACGAGATTAATTAAAGATTTATAATTTTGTTAATTTATAGCATTCCGAGAATCATATCTCTAACTTAGTATTGAATGTCATTTTGCCGGCTTAAAAAGTATACTACTTATGTTACGATTCTCACTTTTCATGTATACAATAAACCGGATGTGGAGAAACGAATCCATACATTGAAGATTGATGAACTTTTAACTGTTAGTTAACCTTAAACTAAGATGCAACAAATTATTCACAAAGATTTTCTACCCATTTTTAATTCATACTTCTGGTGTTAGTTTTTACTGCTGATTCAAGTTATAATTAAATTTATTACTATTGTAATAATTAATTAGGATTCTCGAAATATCTTTGCCATCGGATATGTATATCGTCAGTATGTATAGTGTAATTGGGAGGAAACTAGAAGGTGTGCCTAACCAAGATATTGCAGCAGTTTATGAAGTCACTAAAAGTGGAACTAAGCCATGTTAATGGGCTTAGACTATCTGGTTGAGGCCTGCACAACTATCACAACCAATGGTTAAAGACTTTGGGTAGAGTAGCTCAGAATCGTTCACAATGGCGGAAGTGCATCCACTCCTTGTCTTTCTCTAGAACCTAAGTCTCAAAATCTTGCTTTTGTCTTCCTTTCTCTATATATATGATCTTTTTCTACTTCTACTGATATTGTTACTACCTCTTCTTCTGTGGAATTTGTCTTGAAGTTATTTTATCTCGCTGTGCTAATGTGATATGACGACCAATGAACATGTGTCAGGTTCTACGTTGCATATGAAGTGACTTTGAAATTTATATTACTTCCAAGTAGCATTCAGTTAAATAACTTTATTTTTATATTGTACTGTGTATTATAGGATTTTACAGCATCAATAAACAATTCTGTATAGTTCTCCAATTTTTGGTCGCTTTGTCAAACGTTTTTCAATCATTAAAATGGTTGGAAAATTTTTGCAATCAAACTAATCATGGTGAACCATTTACTCTTGTTGTTACAACCCTTACTATTGAACTACGATTATATCTGACTCAGAAATCCTCAGGAAACAATAACAGTAAGAGTGTTAACAATAATGTTCAGTGCGTTTTGAATTCTGGCAGTGAGGAAGAGAAAACTTTCAGAACATCGTCAGAAAATTGTACAGATATATTGATTTGCTCAGTATGTTTTTTCCTTTATTCTGAATACTTTATTTGTAGGCAAATTTTGGTTTGTAAATAGATTTTGAGCCAGTCATATGTCTCATATCCATTTATCAGTTTCTCATGAAAGCCATAAGCATGAGAATAATATCTACATTGCTTTGACTGCATACTTATTAGTTGATAAGAAAATAGATCAATAAAAAGTTATGAAGACTTAGTCAATTCAAATTCGACTCCATATATTTTGATTTGGGCCGACGGGTAATATCACTAGGCTGTCACACAAATGTGACTCAAGGCTAAGTACACGAACGTTTACGTGATTAGTTAGCTACATTCAATTCAATCAGTTAAATAAAATAGTAAAATGTCCTAGATCAAATAAATTGTTTAAATTTCTTTGAGACAATATCATTTTATTGCTGGGTTTTTCATTTGGTAATATTGAGTTAATCGATAGTGTAATCGAATTCAGTAAACAAATCCATTTTCGGTAATTCGCCTTTTCAGCATATTTATTTTGTGAAATACATCATGCTGTTTTACATATCTGGTAAAATATAGGGACCTGTTGATTGGTGGTGAAAAGCACTTAAAGCAGTGTACCACAGTTGTGGTTTAGAACATGATATTTAGGGTTAGCTTCCTGCTTCATTAACCTTTTGTAAATAATTATGAACACCGAAATTAAGAAAAATTCATTGATTTGGCATGGTTTTCGCAGTCATTCTATGTTTAAAGCACTTGATCTGTATCCACTTGGTTGTGGGTTTGAATTCCATTTAATTCAGTTGGGTCAGCAGGGTAGTGTAGGTGAAAACAAAAATGCAATACTCTGGACTAAAGTTAGATCACTCTCTGTTGTCATATATTCATTCTGAGAGGACCCCATTGATATTGCATGTAGTCGAAGGTTTCGTTATGTCTTCAAACTTGAGCTAGTTGTGGATTGTAGGACGCACTTATTCCTATTTACAGGTAGTCAGTTATATGTTTGCACCCTTGTCGATGCTCACCGTGAGACTCGGACTCACGACCTACCACTTCGAACTCCGAAGTGTCATATACTATGCTACTAATGTATTTAGTGGGTACGCTAGTTACTTGATCTATTTTAAATGATCATTGAGTATGTTGTGTTTGTACATTTTTTAGGTTAAGTGTGTTAGATTACATGTATCTAGACATTTCCTTTATTTGTAGAATTTGGTTCAATCCTTACTCTGCCTACTGCAGTTTAAATGACCGTGAAGTATCAATAGCCTCTAGCTCTTATATGTAGCTGAAAACTGACTGTTAATCAATTCCTGATCAATGAGTTGTATTGTTTTGTATTCTTATATTTTTTTCCTTCGTTCTTTCTCACAAGGATTCTTCAGTAATTAATTGCAATATATTAGAAGCATGTTTACTTTTATTTCAATATTGCCTACAAGAGTTACAGAAGAGTGACACTGATGATAATAATGTGAGTTTTTCCAGTTGCATAACTTTCATTCGAGGTGTTTCTGTCTAATTACCGGTGTACAAGTTTCAGCATTTGATATTCGTGTAAATTAGGGAAATTATCAGTCGTCTAAATTTAAAATAGGAACCAGTAAAATTTAGTCAGTGTTATTCCCTTACGTTTAATTGGCGAAATAAACTCATATTTTTGGGACACTATGTGGCATATATTATTCACACAGTAATGGGAAATGATGAAGCCAGTTGTTCTAGAAAATGTTATTTTCCAAAACCTTAGCAATTAAATGATGATTTGTTCAGCATTAAATAAACCAAAAACGGACGTTAGTTCCAGGTGTGCTGTAAGAATAAGGAAACTTTTCGTTATTGGAGAACTTATAAGTATATGTAATATGTAACAGACCTTTAAAAACATGGAACATAAAAGCATAAGGTAACCAATAAAAGAATAGTAGTGGTTATTGTAAAGAGCATTGATTCTAGACCCATGGCGTAATTCCAGTATACAAAAAAGATACTTGGAATTTTAGATTTGAAAACGTGTGACTAACTGGCAAATACTGAGGCACTCCTCTCAGTATCCATATATACCATTAGAAACTAACCAGTTAAAGTCCTTAATATCAACAGCGCGGAACTAAAAACCTTCGCAAATGAAGTCTTAGACGTTTTAAGACACTTAGCTGTGACTGGCCTATATACGTCTAATTACGTTACTTTCGCCTATCCAGTATACAGTGCAGCATTCTAACTCATAATGCTTCATGGGTGTGAAACGTGTTCTATAAAAAGTAGAAGTCCTGTTTTGATTATAAGTATTTGAATTATTCGAAGCGGTTCTCGTACATGTTGACACTCACCAAGTGAACAATGTCGAGGGTTACGCCTAGGTTACTAAGTACAAATGATAAATCGGATAGTATGGTTATAGATTTTCGTCGATTGGAGTTATTCAAGCATTTTTTACGTATGTCTAGCCACAAACAACCTAAACACAATGTTGATAGGCTTTGAAGTAGATTAGAGAAAACTCAAGGCATTCAAAATATACGTAGCATCAGTTTGTGAAGTCGTTAACTTTTAGCTTGAGGCGTTTAAGGCGATTTAAACATCCTGGATGCAGCTCTCTTTATAGCTGTAATTTATGGTTGCAGGCGTTGGACAATATAATTCAATAACATGACAGATATCTCATGTCCTAACTTCATTTATGTGGCCGATTGAATGATTATCTCACACCATATAAAGGTTTAGCTACATTCAGAAGTAATAATACAGTTCAGGTACCCAGAGTCTATCTAGAAAATAGTCGCTTTCTTAATCATTTTCTTAATAATTTTCGATTTAAACAGTTCATAACACTTATTATGAATGCTCACTGTCAATTATAAAACTGTTTTTTTAATGTACATACATTGATAGGTAATTTTTCACTTTTGTATAACTTTTGTTTCTATTTTGTCTATTCTAAAAGTTAGATACTGTTAATAAATGTAGTGACAATTCTTCTTATCGCTCCTTAATTTCATATGCTACTGACGATACAGTGAAAAATATTTGGTTACAATGTTTAGATACTGGTGAATTGTTACGAAATTTACTGAGTTCATTTAATCCTTCTATAAAAAATCAAGTAAGATAAGATATTGTTAATGCAACAGATTGAATGTAACAGTTTAAAAATAAAATAGAAACAATTTTAATTACAAATTTTCATAAACTCACATTATGAATTAATTGCTCTTTCTAGACAAAACATTTCTTTAAATTGAAAATTTTCGTTATTAATTAAAAATAACTAAATGAATTGGCTTCTATGTAGCTGAGGAAAACGCAACAAATTACTATAAATCCAGATTATTCTGCCGTTTATTCCTTATCTTCTTTATATTTGTGAAGGAAACCAATTGCATAGAAATAAAAATTGTATTGTTATTGCACACGTTATGACGATTTGCAGAGATAAAGTGTTTAAGTCATTGATTTTAAAACTATGATTAATGGAATAATTCTGTAACGAAAATTAGCTCTTATGAATACTCCTGAATCATCTATGAATGTGTTACAAAAAATCTATCTGATAAATAATAGTATATATTTTTTAGCGATTGTATGTTAATAAAAGAAAACTTATTTTGTTGTATAGTCCAACGTTGTTTTCAAAAAATCGCCCATTATGAGTTTGGCGGATTGTCGACATTATCAAGTATTATTGATGTCACAAACCGACGTAAATTAGACTACTCATTAAGAATCAGGAAGCACTGGATGACTGTTTCGTCCTTGTATGAGGCTTCTTAGAATTGCGTATCCGTGGCCCTTTGCAGGTCGAACTCAAGACCTACGATTTCGTGGGCGAACGCTTAACACCTCTAAACCACTAAGCTGGAATCCAATTGTTTATATATCTAACTTCAATTAATTCACAATATTCATTGTCTTTGGTCGTATAATAAAGCTGGTAATATTAGCAATTTTTCATATCCCAACAAATTATATATAAACTGATATTTTGTCTAAATCTATGAAGGTCATATCTTGTGATTCATCTGTGTATTTATTCTGTGGCTTTTGTTTGGTAAACATTTCGCTTAGTACTAATATGTGGTTTTTATTATGTGATTATTATGTCTGATGTGTACATTTTTATATCAACCTACATGTTCAACTTCTCACTTCTTGTTTCGGGTTCTAAGAGGGTTCTTTCAAGCAGCTTTGTATAGTACCAAATGTTTAATAAGTACAAATCCTTTTCTCTTCTATCGTATCGTTAATATAAAGTAACCTTTTGATTCCATCAAGTATTCAGTTTCATTTTTCCCTTATTTTTTCAAATTTCATTTGTACTTTTATTTTGAAAATCAAATTTAGCATCCTCTTTACTTTAACTACTAAAGATGTTAAAAGTTTTTTATTGGCTCACTTACACTGTACTGTACCCAGTTGTACATATTTTTCTAAAAAATAGACTAAGGTCTTTGTTAGATTAATAAACATTAATGTTGAAAATGTCTTATTTTCTCTATTAATGTAAGAATTTTTTTTCCTGAATATTTAGGATCCCAATTGTGAAATATGTACTGATACACACTTTTTATGGGATAAGTCGGTTGATGAAATTAAACCTCTTGGTACAGTTTTACTTGAAACATATTTCAGTTGGATTGAATTATACTTTAAGACACATTGTATGGAACTAGAAAAGGATTTGGAAATCATGTCTGTTTTTAAAGAACTATTCAATAACTATTTAACTCCAGTTTTACCGATTTTGGATACACTGATGTAAGTTTATAAAATGTTTTTCTGTCATGTACAGATTCAAAATTGATTTCGATAAGATTCAAGACCTCATTTTCATTAAATAAGTTTTCTTCATTGTTTAAATTACGAACTAATCTTAGCTAGATAACGACTGAAAACCAGGAAGCATTGTCCAAATGTGGGACTCCTCAGGACTACGCGTCTATGACTCCACATGTGGGAATCTAACTGGGGATATTTGGTTTCATGTGTGGGCACTTAACCCCTAAACCACTGAGCCGGCATCCAACGGTATATATGTCTAACTTTATTTAATTCACGACATTGAACGACCATCTTCCATTGCCTGCTGTGGATAACTGTCTCAGACTCGGCACGATTGAACTCCAGTGGCCAAGGCTTCTCACTAGTCCTACAGTAGTTGCATCTTTAAACTAACCTCTAGTGAGCTCTCGATTATTATCATTATTATTGTAGTGGGATATTATTGAGCTTGCAAGAACTCACTGAGCGTTCTTTCAAAAATTGCATTAGATTGGCTAAATTTGAATGTTTTTCTTTACAGGACGATATCATTTATGCAGCCACTGTTCATCATATCTTGCTGGACTATCGATTTAATTTTTAGCTTCGTAGAATAAAGGACAGTAGATTCTTAAATATTAAAATCTTTATTTGATTAAGCTTTTCATTTTCATTCGTTTTGTAGTTTTGTCTGATTTATTTTCTTGCATTACGTTTTCTTATATTCGATATAAACCACTCAGTTATCCTAATTATATCAATCTCCACCACTACTGGCGATGAGCTATTAATACATTTGTTTGTTGCGAAAATCCAGATTATTTAACCCTATAGTGATAGTCATCATCAATACATTTTTAAATACTGTTTGTTTCAAGTCACAATTGTACTTTTTTCAATTAGGACAAATTTCTTTGAAAATCATCGCTTGTCAACTGCCTCGCATCAAATTTCATCTACAGATAATTCGAAAATCGTTCAATCCGTTGCAAACATTTCAACTATTTTAGTTCAGCTGTATAGAATTCCTTTAAATACTGGCTTGTCTGCTAACCTATTTGGATATAATTCGACTGGTAGACCATTTCGTGGAAATATGGTTTGCAAATGGTTGAAGGAGAGTTGTTGCGCGAATATTATAACTGCCCAGAAATCTGATATGTGTTCATTCGTTACCCTTGTTACTAACATCTTGGAACTTATAAACAAATGTCTGTTGAATACACTGTTACTCGACACGAAGGACAGTATACATGAAACCAATTTACTTATGTGGCTTTTGAGTCCTGGTGAATTATTGAAATTTTTTGTTGGTAATTGGATCTCTTTTGTAGATTCTCTAATTGGTTAGTGATATCTTTTTTGTATAACGCTTATTTAAATACTTTTATTTGTTTCAATGGAATATGCTAAAATTTATTTTCATGACAGAATAATCTCCACGAAACTGCTTCACCTAAACTATCATGATCAGTTCAATAACGACTTTCTTCCATGTCAGTTCATGCGGTGCTAGTGGAAAGTTGTGACCAATGGAGTTTAGGTACGTTTGAAGTGAAATAGCCGTCATTAGGAGCGCAAAATTATTGTCTCGTTATATTACAAGTTGACTGAAATTGGAAACGTGTACCTTTGAAAACCAATTCAATGATTCTAACAGTTTAGCGTTTATCGGAAGAACTTGAGGGCCTCGATCTAATGTCTGAAGGGCTTGTGAGCACTTAATGCTCAGCAGTTCCTTGCTAAATTAAAATGGCTATCCACTGCTCCCTGGTTCTAAGTGGTATGCTGAATGAATGAAAAATTTCATCTACAAATGATGCAATAAGAGTTTTTAAGGGTCGTGTTCTAAAATTCTCATTTAATCGTAGATAAGAACCTGATAATTGTTTATATTCAAGTTACTTAAATATGTCATAAGTAGTTTTTCAGAGTAATGGATATATCTTATTAGTTCGAAGTAAATATAAGCTGATTAGAAAATTAATTCCAATTCATTCATTAATCATATCCATTATTTTAGGTATTACGAAGTAGGTCTTTCTGTTTGAGGTTCTCATGATAATAACATTAACAACCAATGATCTTTTAGACAGTCTGTCATAGTTAAAACCAACTAAAAAACAACATACTTTGTTGCTGTTTCTCTAAATTCAAAAATTTTTTTACTCATTTTTGTAGCTTCATTTAATTCACGTCGGTTTTTTCTTTGGGACTTTTATACTTCTGTTGGTTTCCTTGTCGTGTTTGGTGTTGTGGCTTGAAACAGTCTTGAACTAACACTTTTTTACTCAAGATTTCCAATTGTCATGTCAATGTATCAGTCTCTTAACCGTACTTGTGTATCAAAAATCGTTTGTATCTTATTCTGTTCTAAATAAAGTTGAGAATTGTCTCAGTAAAGTATTTTATTCAAGCTTGTCCTTAAAATTACCTTTTCTTGTGAATTACGGTGTCATTTGTATAACTGATACTACTGATAACCATCTAAACATAACATCGCTAAGAATAATTACAATAATGTCACATGTTCAGTGTTTTATGAATAGGCGTGAAATAGCTCTGTTATCAATCTAAGTGGAAGTAGGATGGAGTAGATTGGAAAAAATGCTCGGAGCAGCCAAATCAAGACATGACATCGGTCCACGAAGTTATTGGATGTTTCACCAAGCTGTTTAGGTAGGTAGATGGAGGTTATCTAGTTAGAGACCTCGCAGTTATCGTAACTATTTGTGAGAGGTTCTAGGCGGGATAGCTAATGACCAGATGTAGTGGTTCATATACATTAACTTTTTATCCCGAAGTACTTCTACTTGATATTCCGCAAATTCATTCATTCTTTCTATTCTTATCTTCTATGCATAATATCTCCTCCTACTACTACTGATACTGTTACTACTAGTACTACACTGAGACTTGTCTTGAAAATTTCACGTCGATGGGCTGGTATGGTGTGATAACTCGAACCGATACACATATGCATCAGGTTTTACGTTGCTTATGACTGACCAACTGACTATGTTTAATCTACAGCAGCATATCTGTGAAATTCGTTCAGTGTTTGAGTGATTTGTAAAGATTCATGTAATTTGTAAATAGTTTTCGTCACGACGTAAAATTGATGAAAGGAAATTAATCAAAGTAAGTTGTGATCATCAAGCTCACTGTAATATCTAAAGACTAATGATTGTTACGTACTCCTATACTAAAACAAAACATAAATTATTCAATGATTTCCAGTGAAAATAGATTCTGGAATATTATTTAATTTTAAGTAACTAGTAAATGTTTTTGTAATATTCAAATTTCAGATCAAGATAATTAAGCACACATTGAACGTTATCATACTATCACAATTTTCACTTTTTTCCTTCCTTGTAATTCGTTGCATAATCTATATCATCGATTTTTAAGAAAAATGCCTTGGTTACTTCAATATTCTCATTTATGTTTACAAATATAACTATTTATCTGTTACGAAGTCTGATAAAGATATGTATATTTATTATTTAATTTCCAGTAAATCAACCATCTCTTTGCATAGAATATATTTGTACAGTTATTAAAATATGGATAGTTTATTACAAATGGTCCAAATTATTCAGTTCTAATTTATGTGATCAAATGAAAAAATATCTATCGGATATTCCTGGTTAGTAAAATAAAATATATCTTTCAAATCTATTCCCATTATCCTAATTATAAGGAGTTTGTTTTTTAACTAATAAACTTCATTAATCTAAGCCATACGTTGTTATACCTATTGACAATTCAATGAAAAACAAGATTTTTCCCATAAACAAGATGAATCAATTTTTACTAATTGTTTCTGTGTATGTGTTTATTCTTGTTGTAACGGTTGTACTACAGGTTATGATACGCAGCGTTTTATCGATCGATCACAGTAACACGCAAAACATGTAAGGACGACCTAGAGATCCGATTGGTCCCGCTTCCCTGTCTAGCCCAGCCAGTTGAGTCTAGAACGCAAGTCACAGCCTCTGAGTTATGAATCATTGTATTTCAAACATACTCTATTCATATACTAACCAAACAGACCACATCGTACCATAAAAGCAGAAAACAACATTTACACAATATTTAACGAGTGAAATAAACAATGGCCAATAGGGAGTGTCCATTTAACGTCCAAGGACACCATTCGACTTAACACGATAATTATTGGTACATTCCTCTGCATACCTAACAATTCTAAATAATGGTTATCTATTATAACCAATTCAACAGTGCTGAATTTAAGTTTATACTCAATCAAAATTCAATATGAAGTAATTGTAAAAGATATCAGTAGTTTAGTAGTTAAATTCTCGCGCGCGAAACCAGTAGGTCCTGGGTTCGAATCTCGCAGGGGGCGAGGTCATTGATACGCACTACTGAGGAGTCCCACAATAGGACGAAACGGCCGATCACGTTTCAATTAAAACTCCAGTATTTGTTAAAATATTCTTGTTTAAATCTATACTGGTAGGATGTTTTTTTTCTAAATATAGTTAACTGTTTCATAAATTTCACTGACTGAAATCGAGTCAATTGAAGCTAGACCACCATGGAAAACCTGGAAGCACTGGACGGCCGTTCCGTCCTAGTATATAACCATAGAAAGCGTCTAGTCTAGTAAAAATATTAATTTGAAGTAATGTATTTTATTTTATTACCTCTTCACTGATCTTGTTGGTAGAATGAATAAATGGTAGAATATTCTTGTATTTCGTAAGAGAGTTCTCAGACTAGTAAGATTACACCAGTTGACAATTTAATGAAATTAATAAGTTAGAACTATGAAATTTCGATCTCTAGTAATCATCTGCTTTAATTATAAAATCTAAGAAATTTTTGTTTTATCAAAAGTTGTTGGGAAGAATTGAACACAATAACTACAACAACATGGAATTGTTTTTGTTTCTTTATGGAACATTCCTATTTGGTTATACAATCAATCATTAGATATTAATTGCTTCATTTTTTCTTATCAATAGTTTTAATTGTTTTTCAGATGAACTTTTGAAGAGAATCGATAAAATTTTATCTTTGTTTGAGGTTGCGTCATTGGATCCTTCAGCTGGATATCATCTTTCTAATCTTGGCGACGGTAAGTTTGTAGGGAAAAATACCGCTTTTGTTGGTGAATATGACATCATTCATATCGTTTAGTGGTAAATATTCATACAAAAACTTTTAATTATGTATTGGCGTAAACTCCTTTAAAAACTTTCATTTTTTATATAAGGTTTCAAAAATTATGGGTTTCTCCTCATGTTGTATCCAATAATATGTAGAGCTGTGGTTTAGTGGTTACAGGACTGGGTTTCCCAACAGTCGGTTGCGGATTCAAACCTCAACCCACTTCAATTTCAGCAGGCGATTAGTATGTATCCCTAGTTCCCTCATGCAAATAATGTAACTCAAAGCTTAGTGCTTAGACCTGTATTCAGAAGATAAATCGCATTTTTAATATAATCCAGTAATACACTATTACATCCTACCATTTTGCATTGAGTTTTATTTTGTACGTTGTACCAGAACGACGAATGTTGAGTAGCAGTTAAATTGTGGGTTATTACGTGCAATTTGTCGCCCTCACAAAGCCAAACAAAGCAGTGGTATTTAGATACAAAGAATCTCATACATTTCATATCAGTGCAGCTTTGTATCCTCCAGGTTTATGAGTCTTCAATTAGAAGATCATCTTTTAAAAATCTGAAAGATACATTATAAACGGGAACATAATTATCATCATCGTTCATTTGAAAGATGAAGTATAAAATTTATTAGAAATATATAAATTACAGTGTGACCATGGCTGTCTTATATTCTAGGCTGTCTCATGGCGTTAAAAGCCACTATATTGCACCTCATTTAAGGTATTGTGTAGAACTGTTGAATTACAATCCAATGCAAATGTAATCCATTCCAAAGTACAGGCTGATTGATTAATAACAGGGCTATATCTTGACTTATTTCATTGTCTGGTTATGTGCAATACAAAGCCTCAAAATATACCGGATAAGGAATATGATTAATAACACTTTTCCAACTACTCAGTTACACTTTCTCATAATTCAGCACTGTTATTAAATAAATCGAGTTATTGATCATCCTACTATTCTTCGATCTTTTCAATGTAAAAAATTATTGTGTGAAAATGAACCATAAAACGTGAAAAGAAACCGAAGCCATGACAATAAAAATGATCATATTAACTGTTTTTGTGTACAAAAACGTGGCTTTGACAACAGTTATCATGATTTACTGGTCCTCGATAGTCATTGAATTTTGAAATCACTTGATAATTGCTTAGTAGTGTAGTTCATCGACCACTTCAGTAATTCCATTTACATTTCTCCATTTCTATCAGTCGTATGCTTTTATGAACATTTTTTTCTAACTGTTTCGCCTAAAATCACATTAGCTTACGATTAATAATAATTTACTGACTGTTGAAAACGTAACTTAATATTTTTGTGTTTTGGTTCAGTTTTCACCGAAGCCGCTAATTTGGATACACGGTTCTCAGACATCTCTACTCTTGTTAGAGACTTTTAACTTGTTCATTTTCTATATTGTCTACAGAATAATAACAGTTGATTTCCATCACTGGAACACAGATATCAGCAACAATAAAAGTTTATTCAGTAGTCTTTTTATTGTTGATCACACTTAAAGAAATATGCGTAGCTTTTATTTATAATTTTAAAAAAGCCATGTTAAAAATATAGATAAATAACTTTTGTATTACATGTTATAAAATGTCAAAAATTGTTGCCATGTTATGGCATCGTCTACTTGTTGCGAAACTGCTACCATTGGTGGTTATTAAGCGTCGATACGTATAATGAGATGAGTCGTAAGGTTTAAACTCAGATATGTTAACATTATTGTCTTTTCATAACACTGATTTAACATTTCAAGTAGCCGTCTTAGCACGAGGTGGAAGACTGGAATATTTACTCTTTTCCGTATTATTATTATTATTATCTTTACGTTGCTGCTACAAAAATCCCCGAAAATTCCGACGCGACTCGAGGTTCAATATAAATGGTTGTCTGCTATACGTGCAGATTGTGGTTTTGTTGGCTGCTTGAAGTAACATATTACTGACCGGATTACACCTCCTTGATAACACTGGCGTAATAATATTGACCTCGGCACCAATATCTACTGAAACGGCACCGAATTTTTTGTTAATCGCTTGGATTAGGTAGCTCGATGGGTGGTAAGTGACATCTCTCGCCACTGCTGCCTGTTTGGCAATGTCTCACTGAGGGTCTTTATGATTTGTGGAAACATTCCACTGTCTTTTCCATGTCTTTGCAGCAAATCCTTGCCTTTGATTGTACCAGCATACTTTTCCGAATATTTTTGGTGACTGAAAATGCAGTTCTATGGACGACCTTTTTCGGGATGATGACCATGTACGTCTCATCTAAAAGTTAGATATTGATGTTTGTGACATAATAAGTCTATTTCTGAGGTCAATTAGCTCTTGTTGTAGTGTTGCTAAATGGTAACCACTAGTGCTAGTTCCCGCCGCTGTATGTGGAATGTTGACACTGTCAGCGTCTGGATATGCATCATTTTGTTGGCCATCTCTGATAAGTTGTAGAGTTTAACTGATATACCGAACACACTCAATACTTGCCGTAGATTGTACGACAGTTGCTACAGTTAAATTTATCCTCACATCCTCGTCTGGCCTACGGAAACCAGCTATCCGCTTCATATATCTTAGAAGTTGGAAAGGTTTTCTGTCACCAAAATCACAAACAGTCAGTAGTAGCTTCTTTTCTTCTGAGACACGTGTGCTGCATAACTTCGGCTTTTATTTCCTATCATATGGAGCTTCTTTCGGTACCTGACCAATGAGGTCCCAGACCGTAGCTGAAACTTTGACTGGTAGTGACCCTGCATAACAAGTAGCCTGGGATCGTATTCCTCAGCAAAGAGAAGTGCTCCTATCTGAGCGAACTGGATTCTTGGATTATTTGCACTGTACGCTGCAAGCTTGAACTCGAAAATTGCATTTTACATGGTCTTTACCTGTTCCTGTTTTTCTTTTTAAGTTTGAGATCTCTGGTAGTATTTTCAATCCTCATGTTATTAATAGATAAACGTTTTAAATTAATATGATAATGATAAGGAATATAGCAATATAAATGTAGAAATATTTATATAATCGAGGTAAACGTAGGTTCACTCAATAAGTTTGTTGGCCCAAAATCCAAGTACTTAAATAACAATGATTTTATCCAAATGAAAACGTATTAAAATTACTAAACAATATGTAGGTTATACTTTCAAATAACCAATAGTTGTGCATTTGGTAGGTCGTAAAGTAAGTCCATAGTTATGACAGATGACTGGTTATTCCAAAATATGGGATATACTTCAATATAATAACGTATTCTTGACCAAGATAACGTTAAGAATCGAACTTTAAATGTACGTAACAGGTATATTGAAGGTTTGTTTGTGTAGCAGCCATTTGAGAGAGAACCGGTTTTGATTTATGCAGCACGTGCAACTTGTAAACGATAATCAGTTTGATATGGAAACGGCGCACAAAGAAATTTAGTGTTGACGTTATTCACTAACGTGATTTAAGTCAGTGAAAATGTTGGAGGTTATGTGGGATATATGTTTCGTTAAAATCATTCAATAATCAGGAAGTTAAATAGCGGGCCTATAAACTGATTACTGGAAGGAATTGAACCCTGGCCTTCTTCGTGATAGGCAGAGATACGCATCAATATAATTACCTATTAAAAACGAACATAGTTTGGTCTTGTACAGAAAACAAATAGCTTCACCTGATGATTACATTGGCGTATATTCCTAGACCTTCAAGGGGGTATACACTTACTAGCTTATCTGTAGTATTTTGATGATATCGACAAATCAGAGGAATAAGGTGTTCGATGAAGAGCGATCGGCTTCTGGCACGTGGTCTGTCCCGCGACCACCGTATCAAAATATTTATCTCTTTCTGCAGTGTATCGATCCTGTCTTCTATCGTCATGCTATGCAATTAAGTGCTCGCTTTGGATTTGAGAGGACAAACTAAATCCGTACATCAAATTGTTCTCGTATAAATATATTTCATTCATTGTTAACCCAGATTGATGATAATAGAAACGATCAGAAAAATCAAGTATGCTGATTCAATCTAATAAAGAGCTACTCAGTATTTTAAGTCAAGGAAAACTAAGCTAAAATCATGCGACGAATTGAGTAAAATGATAAAAAAAACAAGTACATACATGCTCTCACAAAATAACGTGGGCACAAGCAAATAACTGACGCAGTCACAAAGAGGTTAGATTAGTCTTCAAAATCTAGAGTAGTCCTCGCAGTTGTAAAATGGTGCCGAAATGCCATAACAATCTCTGTGTGGGTAGCTGTACATTAGTTTGAGAAAAAAGCCATTTTTGAAAGTAACACTGAATTGGTATGTGAAGGAAGTATGACAGTAGGTAACAAAAAGATACACTATATCCGGTAGATTGCAATGATAAAGGAAAGATGAATGTTTAGTGCGAAAAGCATAAATACCGTATGTTTGCAGACAAATGTAAGTGCTCACATGTGATTATGAGCAAAATAATGAGCACGTATTTATGTTGTGAACGTATGGGCGAAAAGAAAAGTATTTTCATGAGTAATTTGAGTGTTTATTAAAACATGATAAATCATCTAAAGCTTATGCGTATGAAAACTGAGGAGATCGTGTAAATAAGTGACGGAATATTATCTGTGATTCCGACAAAATGTAGGAATGGTCAGTGCATCTGAAAATGTTTTAGAGCATATCAAGTTTAATGATTGGAAATCAATGTAATATCAAAACTCAAGTTGTAAAACTAAGCAGCCCCATATTTATGATCGACGTTCGGTTAAGATTATCGTTGAGAAATTTTGAACGACGATTGCTTTGTATGAATGTTTTGAACGAACACCAGTTGCATATTGCGATAAGGTGCTACTACCGAGAGTGTTGGGATAGTTGCGACCATGCTACTCTCAGCATGCAGGAGGTTCGCCCGACTCGGACTAACGACTCACGTGTCATTAGACATCCAGTTTACTTAGCGGGTTCGATGCATGAATGGCTAGCAAATACGTCAGAAATATAGACACGAAAGTGGATGATAATGAATAATTAGTCTCATAAAGGCATTCCTTTGATCGACAATCCAACCATAATAAAGATGATCGGTATTAACAAAAGGCTTAATAAAATTACAGGTGTTCACAAACGTAGTGAAAGACTTGATCGAAAAGACCAAACGCGTATGTGACATGACATTATAAAAGTGACCTTAGCCACGCGGATAGGAATATAATAGCGAGGAGAGCTGACATGAAAAAGATTGACGAACCCACTTTAAGCGCGACAACTTTGCATTATTGAATAAAATAACAGTTGAATTAATTGTGAATATCATCGTGTAAATACAGTGTTGATAATATTGTTAATCGATGTGTGCGTAATAGAAATACGTAAATGCTATAATATAATGTTAATACGAGTACAATAATAATCCCACAACTTTGGGGGATAATAATCCACGAAATAACTGAGTGATAAGAGTCGGAAAAATATCTTTAAGGCAATAAAATTTGTGAATATATTATTCCTTGTTGCATTGAAATCATTTACCTGCATCGGATTCGAGATGTTGAGCCATCTTTATCGCTAGTCAACTACGTCAGTTGCGTTGCATTCGTTCGTCAATGCATGGGACTTTAAATGCTAAGTTTTGTTCGAAATCGCGCTCACCACTATAATGTTTTCTCTTGGAAGTTCCTATTAATAGCTTATCTGTATTACTTCTAAGAGTTGTTTGAATTAAACTTCTTTCCGTATTACGTTTGTCTTCCAGTATGGTAACAACTAAGTCGCAACACTATGTATTGTCGGATAAGCTTTGTTGCCAATATATTTATTTTCCAGCCAAACGAGCAGATAGACCGAAAGGATAAAAATGAATAAGTGTACATGTATATGAGTCATCGTGTATGCATATAAAAAGTGCCTTTAATGAAAGATCAAATATCTAGCTTTAATGTGACAAGGTAAGTCACACAAATACCCACAGACGGCTATGTGTTTACTGTTAAAAGATCATAATTATTTATAAGAGTGAGTACACCTACCTTGTATCTACTTTAACAGTGTTCGAAAGTATAAATGTACAGAATAACGGGAACAAAGTGAAATGAATGATGTGTCCGTGAATCAGAACAACTTTCCCTTTGAGGTCCATTGAGAAAAAGACTAAGCCGGGATTAATTACGACTATGTGCAAAGTTTGTATTGTTCATTCCGTTAAGTATTTTACTTAAAAATAATGGTAATTTATTAAGATGAATACAACATAATTATTTGTCATATATCGGAAATCTAAAGTATGTTAAGTTAAAATCTAAACGCGACATTAATAGCTATGTTCCTAGGACATTGTTTTGTATTTGATACACATAAAGTTCTTAGTATTTCAAAAGTTTGAGTTTAGTACTCTTGGGTTGCTTCTTTTTATCCTAACAGTGAACAAGTTCTATGGTCATTATATTTATGACTTCATTCAAACACTATTCTCTAATAAGCAAAGATGGATAGTGGCTAGCTTTGGAAT